TAGCTTCAAAACACTGGTGCATCATCCATTACGGTTAAAAATTACAACATTTTCTACATAGCCAACAGCCCACAAAGTCACTTTTGATGTCTATCTTATTTTTACCCATAGGATCAAACATCAAATGCCTCCACTTATTTATTCATGATTTACAAAGTCAAAGGTTATCGGACCAGTGAGACTGTTATTACCCAAGCCTAAATAGTCCAGATATTCCAAATGAAACAATGACCTTGGAATGCTTCCGGTGAAGTTATTGCTGTTGAGGTTGATGTGATACATGAATGGGTAATTCATCCAACAGTCAGGAATTTCTCCTGATAAAGAATTCTCCCGAAGATCCAGATATTGAAGAACTTGATTTTCATTCTTCACTTCACACAAAATGTGAGAGATGCCTCCTGAAAATAAATAGTTGGAAATTAAGTTCTAAATATGTCAATCAATGATAAATTAATTGGGTGTGTAGGCAATTGCATGTGTTTGATTGTTGTGTGCATATAAACCTTTTGATTGTTGTGTTTGACTATGATGCACATATAAACCTTTAACAATTTCAGAGATATTTGAACTCTTACCATGGATTTGATTGTGAGAAAGGTATACGGTATCCAATGATGAGTTGAATAGCCAAGGTGGAATGGTATCTGAAATTCCTGCGAAGGACAAGTTCAAATACTGAAGAATTTTTTGTGATCGGATCCATATAGGAAATTGGGGACCCAGCTTCCATGAGCCCAATCCAAGTGTTACAAATTGGGCACGAGGAGTCCAACTTGCACTTACTTTTAAGGTCAAGGAGTTTCCAGATGCATCAAAATACGTTAAAGTTGTCAGATTATCTAGGTAGCTCTCACTCACAACGCCTTCTATTAAATTATCAGCAATATAAAGCACTTCAAGTTTGGGAAGCTGCCAAAGACTTTCAGGAAGAGTTCCAGTGAGTTTGTTGCCAGCTACATCCAAGTGCACCAAGGATGATAGTTTTCCTAAATTTGATGGAATTGAACCAGATAGAGCATTATCATTTAGCGAAAGGTGTTCGAGCTGGGTACAGTTGCCAACTGTGCTTGGAATTGGACCATTCAAGTGATTCCCTTGAAGGTTGAGAGAAATGAGATTGTTAAGATGAATAAGCTCGTTTGGTAGCGAATCATTCAGATGGTTGGAAGAAAGATCTAAGTATTTGAGAGAAGTCAAGTTCCAAAGACCTCTGGACAATGGGCCTTCAATCGAGTTATCACTTAAATCAAGGGAAGCAAGGGCAGTAAGACCGAAAATCCATCTAGGGATGAGGTGTCCAAAAAAATTTTCAGAAAGATCTAGGACAGTAAGAGAAGAAAAGTTGGCATGGAAGACAAATGTATCTCTACCGCAGATGTATCTCTACCAAGGAAGGGATCGTGTTAATCACCTCTAGCCAATTAGACGCCGTACTAAGGTTCACGCGACTCATGTCTAGGTGCTCCAGATTAGAGAGACCAACCAACCATTGCAGGTTATCAACTTGAAGATCGGACGGATTGCCTCCTATGCTTAAAGTGCGTAAACTTGATAGGTTTCCAAGCTGATAGGGAACCATTCCTTGAAATCCAGCTCTGGATAAATTCAGGTACCTTAGACTTCTGAGAGACCCAAAAAAACTGGGAATTGGAATTCCACTGAAATCATTTAGACTTAGATCAAGGTAACGCAAGTGAGTCAAATTTTGTAACGAATGACTGATTTTACCGCTTAATGGTGATTCTTCCTCATCACCAACGACATGAATTTCAGGAACAGGCCTCTGAAGGTGAAGTTGAATCACGCGGCCACTTCGGTTGCTACAAACAACTCCTTCCCATTTGCAGCAATCAACGTCGTGTATCCAAGACGAGAGTCTACCAAAGGGATCTTCCAAGTCTTTCTTGAAGTCCATAAGAGCTTGTTTCTCACTTGCATAGCAAGTTGCATTTACAGTTTTGATGGAAGAACAGAGTAAAATTATTGCGACGAGTAAGAAAACAAAGAAATGGGTTGATCCACCGATGATCATGTGAAATGTCGGAAGAAATACGTTGCATTCGGCTATGTTGCAGATTCATATATAGAGCTGGATGGAAGAAATGCACAGTTGATAGAAAGCTTGACAGGAGATGTGGCTATCAATATCAGGCTTGGAAAGCATATTTCACTTTTGCAGCGTTTACATTGACAAGTCAACAATGGAAGACTCGGGAATCTGATTTCGAAAAGAATTTTTTATTCGTTTTTGGCTTCATTATTGAGAAATTTTAACCTCAGAAATGATTTGAAACAATTTATGAAGAAAATTACATAAACATAAAATTAACAAGTTAAAATGAGAATTGGAATTTGGGGAGAGGAAAGTTCTTCTTTTGTCTTTTTTTTTGGATTTTTTTATAGTTTTTGTGTAAACTACGTTGTTCAAAGCCAGCTATTGCTACGAGAGATAAATTCACTCGTTCTAAGCACATATATTCGGATTAATATTTTTGTGGTAACAATGCACTAAAATTAGTAGAGCTAGAAAATAAGGAGAAAAAGGAACATGAAAGCTGTTTTGATTGTCCTGCTTTTGTACCTATGCTTTAATACAAATTGTAGTATCAAAATAATTTATCAGACGGACATAGGGTGGACAGGCAAGGGCAGCCGCCTTCCAAAAGTTTTAAAAATTTTAAAATTCTCCCTATAATTTTAGTTGTCAACTAAAATTTTATTATGTTATCCCCCTAAACAAAATTATTTTTTTCTTTACTTTGTTTAATTTCTTTTGATAAAGTGTCATATATCAAACTAACAATTAGTTTCCTTATAAAAGTATGCCATTCATGTCTACATTACTATACAGTTAGTATTATTTTTGAATAACAATTATAAAAAATATAAAATTTTATTTTCTTCGAGTTTCTTATAACAAACCAACTCTTAGTTTCTTTTATAACTATAATTTTACAATAGAAACTAAGGTAATACTGTATATGTTACATAGGAAATCAAAGACAAAGAAAACAAAAAATATATATGTATATTCTAGCTATCGTACAAATTAAAGAAGTTTCAATTACGATTTTGAATGCCTTGCACCGACAGTAAATAGAATGGCATAGAGCCCAATTTTCACATTTTTCTTTATACATTGTTTTTTTTTAAAAAAGTTCTTCCTTCTAATTATAATTTATTGTGCTTTCATTTTGCTTTTAATATGCCTTATTTGCTATAATATCATTGATGATTCGTTCCCACTAAACTTTTGAATTCGTCACTGATGCTGACGCATATTTTCAAGGGTAAATACATCAACACAACCTACATAAAAGACGATTAAACATAATAAACTTAATAATTCTGTTGATTTAAATCTACATATAAGATTGTTATACAAGTCATTGAGCAGAGCTTACTGGAACTTTAAAGTATATATGAAAGACATCAAAGGTTATGGAATATATATGCGTCATTAAAAAAAAAAAACAAGAAGAAGACTTCAGGGAAACTCCTATCTGCTAGTAAAGAAAATTGTATTAATTGTAAATTAATATGATCTGATCACATCCTAATTGGTTACTTTCTTCTTTGTCGTCACTTTTTTGGATATTCAACACAATATTTGGAAATGATTAAAAGGAGTGAGTAAATTAGTTTCTTTTTTTATAAATATTTTTGGCTCAAGCGAAAGGTCCAAATCTTACAAGAAGGGAAGGAAAAAAGAAAGGAAGGTGAAAGGGGAAGAGAAAGGACTTAAGAGTCGAATCAGAAATCTAACAGACACTTGACTAACTATCCTAAAATGCGTCTTGGCGGAAGTTTTCGTTACCTTAACCGTATGTAAAGCATTGCATCCAATTCAAACATTTTTGATAGCCTTTTAAACTTCTATTCTTACTCCAATTAAGCATTGGATCTAATTCTTGCCCAAACTACTTGTGCACATGATGTCAACATAACCATCATTGTATAAGCATTGTAAGTAATTGCAAGTTCTAAGTAACAAGATAACTTTCATTTCATGAACAAAAGGAATATCATAATTTTGCTTTACTTTTGAAAAGTTTTTTGTCAAATGAATTCAAAACCAAAAAATAATAAGTATTTCCAAATTGAATACCACATCAAGTGTTCTACATATTAGCTCTAATTATTATAAGACTACTCTTTGATTCTGCAAATTATCGCCTAGGGTAGAAATTAAAATTAGATTAAAATCTTTGCCCATATTACATCGGCGCCTTTTGGATTTCGTACAGACTAATAACTGAGAGGTCTTTTCTACAGCAATGACCGAAGACTTCGCTTTGAAATCTTTACGCGTGAAGGAATTAACATCTCACCGTCAAGTCAATTGAAAGAAAGATTCAAGAGGACAAAAGTGACTGAAATTCCGAGACCAAAAACCACTTTGAAGAATAAAATTTTCATATATAATGATACAATAATATACAATCAAAAATAATTTTAAAAATATTATTATATTCATACAATATATCAAAAAGAGCTGAAAATATATAAAAAAAATTTTAAAAATAAAATTTACACGATTTTTTTCTTCCACCTATCACCACCACCATGCTCTTCTTCCTCCTTTCCCTCCCTCTCCCTCTTCCTTCTCATTCCTTCTCTTTTCTCTCCCTCCATCTTCTTCGTCTGCTCCTTCCTTCCCCTTTCCCTCCTCTTCCCCACCTCCCCAAGATTTGGTCGAGGCCAAATTTTGGGGGGAGGGGGGGAGACAAGGGGTGGAGTGTGAGGGAGATAGGGAGGGGAGGTGGGGATAAAAGAGAGGGAGGAGGAGGAGGAGGAGAGACGAGGGTGGTGGCAGTAATGAATAATAGTGTTAATTTAAAAATAAATACCCTTAAAATACTTTAAAAAATATCCAAAAATATTTTTCAAAAATACCTCTAAAAACACTATTAAAAATATTTATAGTAAAAATTTTTCATACCTATTATTATAGTAAAATATTTCAAAATTATTTTTAAAAATAGCTAATTTAAATGGAGCCAAAAATATTTGCAAAGATTGAAGATTTTTCCATGGCTCAAGACATGCAAGAAATTGAGGATCCAACGTCCACAAACCCAAATAAAGTTTTTTCTTTTTTTTTTTGGATTCCTTTTGGGCAAAACCTGGGATGGGAAAATTTTAGCTACAGTAATTTCAAAAAAATTTTTCAAAATTTTTAAACTATACACTTCAAAAAAATTTTTAAAAACTTCTACAGTAAATTACAGTAAAATTTTAGATAAACTTTCAAAAAATTCACTTACCAAACGGGGCCTAAACTGTACAAGGATGGGCCCATATACCTAAAGCGTGCTTCACATTGGGCGTGACCAATCATTATTGTTGAAGCCTCAAAGAGACTTTGACTTGACTTTGAAAGGATAACTCACTTTTGTTCTGAACCATTCACAAGGAACGGAAGCAGTGGAAAACTATTGAAAACTCCAGTCGTGTTTCTCATTTATGATTTGATGTCATGATGAAACAATCTAGGCATTTGAGTGCAATTTAGATTTATATTGAAATTTAATTTGGATAAGAATTATTCGTTTCTGGCTTGATTAGTGAAATAAAAACTCATTATGATTTTTAACTACTCTTCGTTTCACTTCATTAAGTATATTTACATACAATGGAAAGCGCCACAAAAAAGAATAAGAAACCTTTCCAGGTTCATATTTTTTAAACACTATCAAGCTGAAATTATGTTTCACGATTTGCGTTTCAGAATTTTTTTTTTTTTTGAAATGATTTGAAACAACCTAGGAAGAAATCACATAAACATAAAATTGCCAAGTTAAAGAGATGCTTTGGATTGAGGGAGAGGAAGGTTCTTTTTGGTCGTTTTTGGTTTCTTGCTTTATCTATACATTACGTTGTTTAGAGACGGATATTGGTCCGAAGAAAAATTCAATCTTTCTAAGCACGTAAGTTAGGATTTAACTCTTATCTTGCTATTATTGACACACTCATGTAGTAAAATTTTTGTTGTAACAATGTACTAAAATTAGTAAAGCCAGAAAATAAGACAAGGAAAAACAAACATGAAGGTTGTTTTAAGAGCAAATTACACTTTACCCTCCCGTGATTTGGTATTTTTTACATGACCCCCTATGGTTTCAAAAACTATATATAACCCTCTCACAGTTTGAATTAAAGTGTCAAAGTGACGAAAATGATCATTCGTAACGGAATCATCTAAAATGTAAAAAATACTCTTATATAAAGTTGAAAATTATTTTTTAATCAAGGGGGGGTTATGTATATATTTTAAAAATCATAAGGGGGTTATATGGTAAAATATTAAACCATAAGGGGGTTATATGATAAAACATAAAACCATACGGGATTAGTGTGACATGTATTTATATGGGTAATTTCGACATTTTTAAAAGTTCCGTTACAAATGACCATTTTCGTCATTTTGACACTTTAATCCAAACCATGAAGAGATTATATATAGCTTTTGAAACCTTAGGGGATTCTATAGAAAAATACTAAACCACAGGCGAGTAAAGTGTAATTTGCCCTTGTTTAATCATTTTACTTTTGTATTATCCTCTAGTAAAAATTGCAGTTCCAAAATAATCTATCAAAATTTGGTTTTTAAACACAGACTACAAGCCACTTGGCTAAAAAATGAAAAACTTCCCAAGATTTTGTATAATGTTATGTGGTACACTTAAAATTTTAAAATAGTCATATAACCGCATGTGGTTTTATATAAATAAAAAATGGATGAAATGTACCATCAGTTACAGATGACTGGACTAGATGTGCTTCGAAAGTGTATGCGATAGAATCATAATATCTATTTAATCCCCTATAGTTTGCATGAATATTCATTTTATCTCCCTATGATTCTTGTATTTTTTCACATAATCCTCCTATAGTTTTATACAAGGTGGTTATGCCATTTTTCAATTTAGTATTTAAATAAGGGTACTACTAGCATTTTAACTAATGACATTACATAGGTTATTTATTGTCAAGTTTTCACTTTACATAAAACCATACGAAGATGAA